ACTATGCTAACCTGTCAACCAGCCAAGGGTCCTCAGGATCATCTTAGTGGGAGGCAGCGTTCTTGTCCTTTTCTTGGCGTACTTCAAAGGACCTTTCGCGAACCGCACATGTTGACCATCCTGAGTACTAAATCATCGCTTGATCATTTCTGGGGTGTTCAGTTTTTTGATCTGACCATCTGGTTGGTGGTGCAATAACCATCTTGAAAAATATGAAAGTCAATGGGAAGGATGACATCCCATATGGAAAAGTTTGAAACCACCAGCCAGCCATTTATAGAAGTAACTTGTGTTCAGTTTTTAGGCAGCCAATTTCTTGGCCTTTGGCAGTTCAGCATCCATCAGCCATTGCCGATGCAATGTCTCACCATAGGATGGCTGAGCACCAAAAAGTGATGATGTTCGATTTGAACAAACTCAAACAACCAATAGAGAGGCTCATTTATGTTGGATCATTATTTATTTGTATATATATATAAATATATATATACATATATGTAATGTCAAGTGCACCACCGGGGTCGTGTGAACAGAACATACTACAATTCCTATCAACAAGCTAGCTTGCTACAGTATATAATATCTATCATGTATAATATGTATGATTGTATGACATTGTATGTATCTTGCGGGTATACTGTACTTACCATGCAGTGATTCAGGGGCGGCTGGCCTAGCCAGTGGAGCACTTTGGCCCCAGAACATGCATGGTGCTCCCCAGGGCACGTCATCCATGAGGGTTGCGCCGAGGTAAAGTCTTACACGTCAGGGATTGTCCTGCAATGGAGATTGCAGCCCTTGTAGCAACCCTGAAACGAAGCACTGCAGGAACAGCAACTCATCATCTAAGCTGCGGTGATTGGTAGCTCATAAATTTGCCACCACTTCGAGGTTCTACGGGCTAAAATTCAGCTGGTATATGGACTGGGCAGCGTATTTTCAAACTGCTGGAGACGTAGAGATCCAACATCTGACCTGCGTTCAGGAACTGGCTGCTGATTCCAACCGTTCTTTTAGTAAGTTGGGAAGTTGGGGCTGCAGTTGCTGGACAGGGTCATATCCAAACAAAACATGGGGATACACCATGATACACCAATGGCTTTTCCCAACAAGAACAGCTGTCACTCTGCTCCTAAACACTTAGGAATGGAAAATGACCCGGGCAGCATCCGCAGCCCTTAGGACACCATAAATCCATAAATCCTTCTATATTTTGCTTCATTGATGTGCATCTGGCAACCCCAATAATCAAGAACACCACCATTTACATTCATTTACCAGTTTCTAGCATCCATACGTAGATCCATATGGGGGATATGGCCACTTTAACATACTTTACTCATATTTAAATCATCTGAAGCCATCCACTGGATCGATCCCGCCCCAGCAGGGGCTGAACACCAGGCTCCGGACACCACCACACGCAGCAGCAGCTTCCGTTCCGAGCCGATGCCGCTGGTCGCCAAGTCCTGCGACAGGAGCTGTCAGAAAAGCCATGGATGGAAGCTGATGAAAACCACCCATATAGCTGGGATTGATATGGTTTTCTGGATGTGAGTCACCAAACCAAAAATGTGGGTAGGTCTTGACCCGTCCCAAGCTTTCATGATTTCATGGCACTTCTCTGCTCTTTTTTTGATGCTCAGTTCGTTCATTGACACCCGAACTGAGGTTTGATGAGCCACTGAGCCAGCAGTACCCCGGCAACTGAGCCGTTGTCTCCTTGAAGCGGTACATGGTTAAGGCCTCGTGAGATCCCAGGAGGGCACCCCCGGCAGCCAACTCCTGAGCCACCAACAGTTGGATGTGGTGAATCTTTTGGGGAGAAGAGATGCAGTGGGTCAGGGGAATCATGTGGAATCTATAGATTTTATGGATGTTTCATGGATGTTCATTGATCATCAATGGCTGCTTGTATGGGCATTTAATCTCATTTAATTATTTTATTGACATCTATGGAGGAATGATCGAATTTCAATGGTGTTCCTGCGCCGGATTTGTCAACACGGTCAGCCAGGCAGATGTTTGAGTGTCGAAGACATCCACCCGCACCTCAGTAGGAAATTACCGCGGGTGTCAAACAGAGGCCTCAAAGGTTTGTTCCAGGAAGTTCCCCAATATTTCATGATAGATTATGGTACATTTGGCACACCCAATATGCATTTCCGAATCTTGACAGAGTTTCTGACAGAGTTTATTCAGCTCAGAAATGCGCCACTGCAACCAAGCGGCTGCACAAACATAACCTCAGCTGTCTTTTTGGGACACCACTTGCAAAACAACACCTCTATGGTCCTCGAGAAAACGGAAGTGGGCCGGAAGGAAATTATCAAATGGGCGCGTGCATCACATGCAACAGGTTGACCAGGAGGAACTATGACCAACATGTACATATCTTCATGTCTTCCTTTTTTCCGGTTCAACATCCCAAGCCCGACTAAAATAGTTCTATCATTGTGTAGCAAACTTAAGGTATGTCTTGAATCCACCAAACAGCACCAAAGATTGCTGTGTAGAAAACGGAAATATACAGTGACACGGTATCTACAATTTTTGGGCAGGCACAAACGCACAAGTATGTACATGTGCTATGCTGTTTGCGTGGAAGCCTGTAAATACGTGTATATATACATAATAGTTATATATGTCATACATATATTGAACATCTATCGCAAATCTATCAATCTATCAACCTATCCATCCCAGCCATCAATCCATCTATCTTATCGGATCTAATATATATATATATATATCAAAGTCTTATCTATTCAATCGTATCAATCTTATTTTATCAAATCTTCTCTTATTTTATCTAATCTCACCATCTCATCTCATCTATTCTCACCTCATGTCCTCTAATCTTGTCTAATATTTCATATTCTAAGACTATTCAATTTCCAACCCGTTTTATTCGGAAACATGTTCTATTCTAATCTATCTGTCTGTCTTCTATATGTCTTCTATGTATATGTATATACATTATTATTATTGTTCTTCTTATTATTATCATATGTGCACACACACACATATATATATATACACACACACATCCCAGAATCACCACAGCAGCTTTTTGGTGGGTCCAGAGCGGTCCCCGCCAGGGAACTTGCGAGGCGGCTGGCGGAGTTTCCCAGCGCCACCCGTGTCTCGCAGAGGCCGAAGAAAACGCCCACATACTCCGGGCCCACCTGGCAGCAACGAAATGGGGAGGTATTTAATTGTGGGGATTTCACCAAAAAATTGGATTTATCCAGCAAAACATGGGATATTATAGGGATTTCACGGGAATCTGATGGGAAATTGCACTCTTAAATATGGGGATTTAACCCAAAAATGGTAGTCTAATTAATTGGGATTTCGTAGAGATATTGATTTTCAGATATGATTAATTTATGTACAATATGGGAAGCTAAGCCAGAAAAAGGGTGGCATAGTCTGGTTGGGACTTAATGGGAACATAACAGATTTCATGATCAGATGGATGGTCTTTAACTATAGCAACCCTCGAAAAGATAGAAAAGACACATTTTACTGACATCATAATACATTGCGCTTCCATCTTCTTTGTGGCTCCCCTTATAATATATATATACACATACGTCCCCATTTCAGGATGTTAAATGTTACTGTAAACCATCACTTTCGATGAAGACAAGAAACGAATCTCTTGGATTTTTTGGAGAGGAATTATCGAGGAACATTGTCTGAAATTTAGGGTTTTAAGTGATTTCATTTCTTAAAGATCGACCAGAAAATGGAGATCCGAGAAACGACAGAATGCAGCAACAACAGGGCGATATAGAAGCAAGAAAAACATAGGTTTTAAGCAGCAAAAAAGAGGTTTGTATGGGAAATATCACCAAATATCACCAATGTAAAATTCTCACATTCTAGCTATCCCATAATCATGGGGAGTTTGCCAATTGGCCACCTGGGGCTCTGGGCCCCATGTATCAGTGTAACGGCTTTCAATTGGGTCTGGTAGTTCTACACATTTTGACGGCCATCCCAGTGTCTGTAGTACCCGCAAATCATGATGAAGCGATACACATATGATCATCATATATGATCCACAAATCTCGAGTTTTTTCTCCCAGGAAAATCAGGAGGTTTTCTCTATTAAATGGGGTAATTGGTATGGTTTTTGGTATGGTTTCCTGTAAGTTTTCCCTCCAACTAATCTATAACCACCCCATCCGAAAAAAACCCTGAACCTCGCCACTTCGCGGCGGGCTACGCCCGATGGGACTCGGAGAGCCCATGTCACCCTGCGGCGTATGGGTCAACACCTATGGCATAATGGGACCATAGGACCATTAACGGGATGATCATCCATTTCTCAGCTGTTTTGGGGGATACCCAAGTTATGAGCTAATTACCTTATGGACATCCAAGTATATCCAAGTAAAATTATCGGGATATCTTGGGTCAAACTGCGGACATGGCTGCAAATGAAGCGCAGTGCCAAGCTTATACGCTTCAGTCAGGCAAAGGAAGAAACTCATCACCAACCTCTATATATATATAACAGTGCATGGTCTTGTCTTTTCTCGAATTCAGGTAGGCAGAATTCCTGCTTCAATTTCAACAAATGTATGGGGGTGTAAATGTTTCACAGCACTTCACTTTTGTGGATCCCCGGCGGCTGGGAATTCTCAGCAACGCGGTGCGGCCCCATTTCAGCCAGCTCGGGTGACCATGCAGCAACTGGTTTTGGTAGGCATAATTCAACGGATACTTTTAAAGATTTCCGGGGGATACTGTCCCAGAAACCATGGTCTTCTGAGTAATTACAAAGGTTTCCAGTAAGATTGTCCTTGTTCCAATTCAGGGAATGATTCTTATAGGCAGAAATGGGACATGGAATACAAAAAAAGACGGCGTATTATAGCAACAAATGACAGCTATATACAGTAATTTGGTCAGAAACATGGGCACATATTGGATATATTGGGACATGCGCAACATACAAAACACTTGGGCGACTTGCTAATCTTCGTTCCTAGCCCCTAGCCAGTTGCTAACTTGGAAGGCGACCCGAGGGGATATGTACAGATCGGTGAAACTTGGCCATCTTGCAGACTCAAGGTTTGAAGCCTATCAGAGATTTGTCCTGCAACAAAGCGCCATAGAAGTCGAACAAAAAACGGTTGCTATGGGCTATGCCCGACCCGAAACAACATGGCTCTGGCAAATGCCCAAATGGATCCAAATGGTCATTTTCATTCATTTTCACCATCAGCCTTATTCTGCCCACTGCTGTTTCAATGTCCAACAATTCTGATGACTTCGCCAGCGAAAACTCGCCACTCCTGGAGGGCTTTGAGTTCCCGTCTCATCTCCTCTTCCTGGGCCTTCAACTCCTGTCAGAGACATGGGGATGGGTCAGAACTGGGTACCCCAAAAAATGTTGGTCACGCCACAATAACTGACAATAACATACAATAACTAGAATATACTAGAATCACTGGCCCCCTTGGCCTTTAACTTTGATGCATATCCATAGATTGAAAATGATTGAAATCTTCTTTTGGGACCATACCAATTTCTATCGTCGACGCGTCAACTCATCGCCTCTGTCTTTGGCAACGCAGCGCTAATCTCTTCCCGAATTTCCTCAAGGTCAGCCACCATTCAGAAGTGGAGCCGGCGAACTGCTTCCCACGAAGTCATGTGGACATTCACCGTACCCTGCTTTTGACCCACCAAACCAACCATGTGCAGTAACATGCAGATTTGTGGAGTGAAGCTGCTTTGAAACCACAACAAGACTAAGCACACTTTTACCAGCATTTCTCAACATTTTGCCAATCTGGTATCTCAGATTATCACCTTTTTACCAACAGATTACCACACAGAAAGTTGCCACATTCTACCCGCCAGGGCACGGCCAAGAGCTTCGGATGTTGCGCGCGTCTTCGCGCCAGTTGGGCTTCCAGGTCAGTGACACGCGCCTGCAGATCCTTGGAGGCTGGGGAATGACCCACCATTCGTAAACTAACAGTTTGCTATTGAAAATGGTCATCTATAATTAGTTGATTTACCCATAAAAAATGGGTTCATTTTCCGTAGTTATGTAAACGTTTACCAGAGGGTAGATTTTCTATAACCGTTCTTTGGATATATGAAAGATATATCAATGATGAATCAGGTCATCATTATTCCCTCATGATATGATAATATTAGAGCACATTATGGATATATCTACCATTGACTGGCCCAATTTTGTGGTTATATTACCCAGCATTTTGGGTACAAGGTTCCTATATGGGGAGATGACCATCCTCCAAAGTCCTGTGAGTCCAAACGCAAAACCACCAGGAATGAATTGGTTGAAATATCTTCGAAAATCTTAATGGGATTTTTATATGAAATAATATAATTATATAGGAACCAATGGGCGTATCTGGGTTTATTTAGAATAAATGTATATATATATATTATACATATATATATATACACATATATATATATAGTGGGGATATGGGGACAATAGTGGAATATAAACAGCAACAATTCAGGATGTCAAACCAACATAAACCAGCAATAAATCGATGCATTGAATGGGGTATTTTTTGGGGATATGATACAATGATATTTTATGGGATACCCTCTGGTAATTTAACATAGCTATTGAAAATTTCATTTTCAATGGGAAAATCCACTATTAATGGTCATTTTCAATAGCTACGTTAATTTGCCAGAGGGTATTTTAGTGGGATACTTAACAGGCAATGAATGGCAATACATTTCACCGTAAATTGCTTTTTAATTTTCAATGTCATACCATGTCATACCGACAAAATCGGGGTCAGTCTGGGGTGTTGACCCCTCTATTCATCAACTAGGAAAAGACATCTACGGGACCATACCTTCAAATTGCTCTGTTAGTGCGGTGGCAGTTGAGGATGGGATGAGGAGGAGTCAAACATGATTAACATTCATGATTTGTTATATTTGTTCATGTATATAAATCTATTCCTTCCTCGTGGTTCCAACCAATCACAAAAACGTAGGCCAATGTCGATGGAGGTAGCGAGGGGAGCCAACCATTTTTCCAGACTTTCAGGGGAACATGTATATGTCCAGAAATCTATGTACATACACGTATGCATACATCTACATATCCAAATGCATTTCCATATGCACTTACATTCATACTTTAGCAGTTGATGTGATACTCAAATCGATGTATATAGCTATAGTTCTGCACATCATCAAGCCCGTGGTGCAAGGAATTAGCCAATTGCCCATGACGTCAAGCCGTCCAAGGTGCTGAAAGCTGGTTCTCTTTCTGCATCAGCACCTCTGTCTTCTCAGCAATTTCCTCGCATGTTCAATGGAGGCATCGTGAGATTGATTTGACAACATTTACAGGAATACATGGCGTTCCTCTCCAAATTAAGGGGGTTCCTGCAAAATCTCCTTTCATCCACTCATTTTTTCCGGAGGATATCGCAATTCGATGAATTGATTGGACACTTCTGTTGGCGAATCTTGGGAATTCACTGGCGACTTTAAGTCTTCAATTCACGGGGTGGTAATGCCATGGAATTCACCAGTCTGAAATAAGGTGATGTGGTAAATCAATAGAAAAAACAATACCCGCATGCCATCACTGGTGGTAAAAACATCCCAAAATGGTAGGTATATGGCAGGGGTCTACCACGTTAATTCCAGGAATTCATCCCCTACGAACCATCATCACGATGGCCTGGTGTGAGCTTTAGGTTCGCTTGGCCTTATTATGATGGATATGATGGATATATCATGATATGTTCACAGAATTCCCCCCCCACACACACTCCAATAAATATAAACAAATACCTATGTATGTATGTATGTATGTATGTATATACACATCTAGATAATTATCTATGATTATAAATCATAAATTATAAATTACATATGTGCACATACACACTTAAGTGGGCTTGTGAACCGACTTTTCACGCAGGGGCCATGACTTTGTGGCATTTGCCAAGCGGCGATCTCACAGGCACGGGCGGTTTCAGCCAGCGCGTCCTCAGGGCACCAAGAACTGACACTGCCGTGAACATATGGTAGTCTGATAGTTTCATATGCTTTCACTATGGTATTCATATGGTTTTAACATAATTTAATCAGGAGAATCATTGAATCATAGGATGGAGGTACTGGGAAGATCATGGGGAACAAACACCAAATTAATGAAGGTTTATAGCGAAAATCATCAATCAATGGGTGGTTTTCCAGCCATGTTTGATCACCAGAGGGGTTACCACAGCTGAGCCATGGGGGATACCACAGCTGATTTCCCAGTGGTGAGGCCGTTTCAGGCGGCTATCAACGCAGGCAAACTTCAGGACAGCCACTTATAATACAATTTAATAAAGATAATAAACATGGTAGTCATGCCCAATCAATTCCTATCAGTACAGTATGTTTTAATGTTTATGTTTCTAATGTTTGTTGGATAAACTCACCTTTTGGATCCTTTTGGAGATTCTACCCACGATTGTTTGATATCCCAAAATTGTTTGGCTTGAACTCTGCATGTTTTGGTTGCGCTGTTGAACCCCAGTTTCGTTGATTGACTCCATTTTTCAAAACCCCATTTCTTGGTTTAACTACCCATTTTTGGTGCCTAATCAATCCTAATTTGTATTGCTTAAACCCCAGGCATGGCTTAAAGCCCAAGTCTTGCTGCTAAACTCTGATTTTTTGGCTCCAGTTTTTGGAGTTGCTCATCCCTCCAAGTCCTTCAAACTCCAGCCCCAACGCACCTTGATGCTGTCCAGATAGTCTCGCCGTTGCAAGAGGGTGGCCTCCAGAGTGGCGATCTTCTGCTCAGTTTGCTTGGCTGACTTCATCATCCTTAGCTCCAAACTGCTGCTTCTTCGAAACCAATGAGGGAAGATCTTGCCGGGGATTTCCAGGTATGACATTTTGGAAACATATTCCAAACCACCAACCAGCAAACACATCCACCAGAGTTAAACACTTTGGAGTTCAGTGGGTGAACAATTGGCTTGACCAAGTATCTTGAACAATTCCCTAACATGTTTGGACAATATTAGGCAACGATAGGGGTGGGAACAACATGAGCACTTAATGATCACTGAAAATCAGGGCCGCGGCTTCATTGACGAAGGGAACAATAAGGTTGAATGATGTTTAAACTTAAAACCAACAATACACGGGAATGTTTGACTAACAACCAATTTCAGGGCTTAGCTAAGAAATGTATAGAAATGTTGGGGACTTTAACAAAACATGAGCTTTGCGACGAAAAACAGGCTCCAAACAGCAAGAATGAGGTTTTCGGCGGTAGCACGTGACTACACCCGGCCAAAACTGGACCTGAAATAGGGCACCTCTCTCGACCGTGTTTTTGTGGCATATGTCAAGCTATGGTGGCAAGGGACTCAGGGCCCACTTTTACATCATTCTATCACATACATACCCTGACCATCCCTCACCAACATCCAGCATCCTTGATGGCCAGGACTCCGAATGAGCTGCGCAATGCTGTAATGTAAGATTCCAACGGACCAAAAACGCATAACACACACCCACACTTATTTCTTTTAGGGTCAGAATTCAGGATGGGCCTTGTTTCTTTGCAGATCTCCATTTTTGGTTGCTGATATATGATATAGTTAGGTCTTTACAGGATCTCCATTTTTGGCCTTTACATCACTTTGCTTGGCAATCTCCAGGTTCACCTGGATGTTCCAAGAATAATTGTTGCAAGAAACAACTACAACTGCCTCCATTGACCCCTCCACAACAAACAAACCTGGAATTCCTCTAAAATATGTTTGGAAGACACATTCGGACTGCAAAAGTGCCATTTTAAGAGTTACCATCTTCAAATGTTCCAGTATGTTCCGGATTGTTCCTTTCCTTCCTTCTCTCATTCTTGTCGGCCATTCTACCGCACCAAGCATCCCCAAGCGGAGCTGTCGCAGCTCTTCCCCCGCGATACTTTGCGCGCTGACCCGCACGAAGACCTCTGCTGAATCCTTGCCACAGGAGGATCTCCACTTGACCCAGGTGAGGGGAACACATGGATCGACAAGCCAAAATATGGCTCGGCTTTTCTGCAACATTTCGCTTACAATTTTGGTCAATGTCTTGTATAAAGGTGTCTTAACATTGGTATTGCTCAAATGCGACCACAACCAGTCACTTCCGGCATTCGGAATCTCATGGTGTGGAGGGGTCCAATGGTGTGGGGGTCCCCAATATTGAGAAACACCTATGTAGCATCCCAGCATACATCCCCAAAACAGAGAAGTTAGAAGTTAGAAGCCTTTTTCCAAGGCTCCATCTCCAGCCCATAGTTCGTTTTTCTATGACTTTCTATGACTTTCTATGACTTTCTACGTTCAGTTTCAGGGTATGTCGGGTATGTCCGGTTCCAGGAACCTTCGCCGCTTGCAGCTTGTGTTGTTTCAGCATGGCTTCCTGTGGCAGGAGGCTCTTGATCTGCTTGCCCAGCGCGCGCGGCTCCTGCGCCACGTGACCCTGTGAGGCTTGGAGTTGAGGCTCATCAAATTCATGGATACATTATTGTGTGTATACACATATATATATATTATACACAGTATCTAAATGTAAAACAAACACGTATAGATCAATTATATATATATACACATGCGATTATTATATCTATACATGTAAGATCATGTAAGTGCATACCTATATAGTAGAAGTGTAGATGACAATGTATGTATAGTTATAGGCTATCTGATTATTTGGCAGGCAGTAAAGCTCCACCACTCAACTTTGTGTTGTCCCTCAACATGACACTGTCCACAAAAGGGGTTTAGCCCCAAGATGCGGAATTGAATTAAGCCTTGCTTTATTGTAATTTTGATCACACAATGATGATTTAGTGTGGGGTTTTAGGGCACATTATCCTGCAGTAATTGAAATTAAAATAAATTAAAACCATATGTTGAGCTCCATGGGTTTGGTAGGAGCCTCAGGTCCATCATATTTTTATTTCCCATGTTAGCATAAAACTACACAGATTTTTGCATCTTTTTTTGAGCCTCTTCCATCCCAACCCCGCTGCTGCGTTGAAAACTCTCCTTTGTCCGCACGCGGTGCCGGTTTCGGGCGCATAGCTCAGCGATCTTCGACAGCTTCCGATGCGACAACCTGTGGAGGGCTTGCGAAGGGTGGCAGGGTACTCAAGACGGAAGCCGTTCAATGTGCTAAACCCACTACTCTTAGTAAAGCAATAATAAACCACCCATATTTTGGTGGTTTTTGCACCGTTTATGGTACATTTGGGAATGGTTTACTTTTGCAATCTTTTGCTAGACTAACGTGAATACACCATCCCCAATTGTCAACCACAAAAGAGGGCTATGAAATTGATCATGTCGTGGGTATATTGTACACCCACAAAGAATTAGCTACAAATTGGGGATATTTTATTATGGGTTCTCAATTCAATAGGTTCCAAACGTTCCCAAATAGAATTTTACGTGGTGGACAAACAGTATGAGTTTGTCTATGCAGAAGATGCATAATAAAAATGCATTTTTTTTGTTGCTGTCTGAAAGAAGTTCTGCAGCTTTTTGGCAGATTTCCATGCCACCAAGATCTATGAATAAACAACGATAACTTCATCGGTAAACCTCCACGTGTGTAAATTTATGAGGGCATGCACATCCACATCTGTAGATGCCTGTGTATAAATGAAAAATTATATATATACACATATGCAATCATATGCAGAGATACCGTAGATCAATCGACATGGACTTGACATGGACACATAAGGATGTAATGCGGATGTCGTTCCAACAATCTGATTCTCGCCATTCCTGCGGTAATCCCCTGAGCTGCCAAGGCCTGTTGCTATCCAGATGCAGCTGCTGGATATGGTGCAACGCCTGCCCAACATGTCATGAATTCTGACGACTGGGCCCCTTAAGCCCAGCCCCTCCAAGATCTAATTATGATCATCTATGGTTAAAAAAAACGGCAGTTTTTCGTTGCTGGTTCACTTGAGGCATATCCACCACCTTTTCCAACGATTGCGCCTCAATCAGCGTGATATCCAGCATATCATCCAGCAAATTATCTGACCTGGATGTGGCCACTGGGTGCCGCAAAATCACAATCTCTGATCATTGTTTGTCGCTAAGGGATGCTGACTCAACCCTCCTTGCTGAGAGTAGCGACCTTTGGATCCCCATCAAAGCTTGGACAGTTCCAACCGGTCCATCCCCATCCCGTTCTTAGGGCCCATAAAGCTTTGATTCCGAAGCATGGACCAAGCTGGACACATATGGGGGGCAGCATGGGCAGGGCAGGCTCTGCTTAATGGGTTAGAAGGTCCAAAAAGAAAAAAACATGGTCTGAACACCCAAGTGAACAACTCCCAAGTTGAACGTGTTGGAAGAAAATGGGGCCGTGCACAGCCACATTGCTGCAGATAGGGCATGACAGATTCACACCAGTACAAGCCCAACTCCAGAAAACTAATAAGGTCCTACGCCCAGCGTCAATCTCAATGTCAAGAGCATTGGGTTTTCCCTGCCGCAGTGCTGGCTGGCTGTGGGTAGTGGTTTCACAATCCAGCTGGAATTTTAGCTACATTGTGCCAACATGTGGTACTTCTACTGTGCGAAAACGTGATATTTCTTGTGCTTTCTGTCAATCAACGTGTGATGCATGGGGTGAAAGCAAAACGCAGCGAAACAATGGCTTTCCTTCCAACGTCGTGTGCATCTCACAGGGCAAGAATCCATTGTTGTTTCTGCATGTCAAAGCCCATGGGAAAATATATTCATCAATGATTGATATTTTCAACCCACCCCGAATATCTTTGTAAGCCGGTTATTCCAACGTAGGAATCAACTATACTAACTAGACAATAAACCGCTGGCTGAAACTATCATGAATCATGAATATAAAAACTATACGAACAATGCATGTATATATATATACATACACATACATACAAATATATCTGTTCAGGAATGTCTTTCTTCAAATCATATAACATCATATAACCATATGTAACCTATGTATATTGCAACTTGTGATGTAAGTCGTTGAGTGGAACCACTCGACGCCTCAAAGCCATGAACATCATCGATGCCCCCAGGTGAGCCACGCGGCAACTGCCCAACTCCAAGCTGTGCAATGGAGGACCTTGAAATCACAGCTTATACAAGGAAAATCATCGATCAATGAAGGTTTTAATGGGAAAATCATGGAACATCATCAATATATAAATGGATGAAAAAACATCTATCAATGGTGGTTTAAGTGGGTGAAAACCCTCTGGTAAACTAACTTAACATAACTACGGAAATTCCACCCACCTTTAATAGGTAAATAAACGACCTAAATGTGCCATTTTCAATAGCTATACAGTTAATTTACCAGAGGGTAAATGATAGTTCGTTAATGCAACTGTTTGTAATAGCTACCTTTAAATCCTCCAACGAGTGAACATACCATCAAAACTACCGGAAATCCCACGAAAAATGGTGATGTGACTTCATGGGATTTGATGGGATTTTATGGGATGCACTTGACTAGGTTGGCCTATAATTACCATAGTTATAATAACTATGGTTTATGTATGTTTATGTCACTATGGTTTGTGGATATATCGAACTTGACAAAAACTAGACCAACTTATAACTGGGGGGGGGATCACCTTGTAGTTGGGGATGGTGACCTCAACTATGGCAAGTAACTATGGTGCCATAAGGGTGTGCTTTCTTGGTCAATAGTTGGAACTGAAAAAGAAGCGAATAAGAATGTGAATTCGTGAGCACGCAAAACACAAATATCAACATGTTTTAGGCACATGTTGGATTAGCCATACCTAGATACGGATTGCTTGCGTGTAGTTATACATAGTGATTTGTATAGTCATTCAAACGCAGTTGTTTACATATAAGTAGAAAATATACATAGATCTATATAGACATACAAAGGATGGATGGTTGCGAAATCCTGCGCCAGTTGAAAACGGTGGTAAACATCCCATTATTTTTGAGGGTTTCAACCATTCGCCCATCAGCGTAGCTGTGGCCGGGAGACAGGGCTCTGATCCCAAAGCATCCGCCAATTCGCAAACACCTGCCGATCGCGACGGATGTTTTAAGAGGGAATCCCATTACAAGCAGGGGTTATTTATATAGGGGATAGTGAACATCCTCAATATATATATATATACAGTGTACATCAATATACTATATACTGGTTAAATATGATTATAGAGTAGATGAATCCGAACTCATCATCAACCCACAGGGGTGATTTTTGCATTGAGCTGGAGGAAAAGAAACTCCGTCGCAAAGGAGGCGCATTTCAGGTCATACACGTTCATCTAATGTGGGAAACCCAATAGTAGATTAGCCCCAATATTATGGGTGGGATTCAAACCATCCCCAAATGGTAGGTTTATTACATTTTATTACTGCCTACATTCCAGTACTTCCCAAGACTTCAAATGTTTGTGATGCTGACGGCTACCAGGTTTGGAGCTTCTCTGAGATGATCTTTGTTTGACATGGAAACGGCTTGCTTTTAGAGTCATAGACCAGCGCTTCTGAATGTACCTTCCCTTGGGCCAACGACCATCAACCATCTCCCTTGAACTGGTTCTGAAATGGTTGGTTCTTCCAAACCATTCGGTATCATCTGATCAAGTCTGAAAAATGATACATCAACAGAATAATCCCTTGTCCTTGTTTCAAATACCCAAATAAGGTACCCCAGAATGAACACATCTAGTCTATCTACTGCAAAACCAAGGGTTCTGGCAGGGTTTGCATATTGGGGGGAAGGGATTTAGACAATAAGTGAGTTGGCCCTCCATCACCTCCCAACTATAAGCCACAACAAATACCACATTGCTGGTTATATACCCCTATAGTCCCATAAATATCCCCACGAATGTATTAGCATGAACGACGCGCGCGCACACATATGATATACATATATGGTGTATAATACCAGTCTGTACCAGTCTGTTGTATGTTGTATAACCAACAGCATCCCATACAATCAATCGAATACAGTATCCCATTCATATATTAATATCCCACATGGTTACGGCTATGGTTCAAAATGCTGCTTCCCGTGCAAACACCAAAATAACTGGTAAATGGATGTTCATTCAAATTCCCTCATTTTTTGGCATAATTTAAAATAATAGGTTTTGATACATCCCAAACTAATGGAGAATTGACCAGAATCCGTATCAACCATCCCAATTGACAACTGGTTCATAACTTCGTCGTAACCCCAAAATTCATAATCCCCCAAATTTGGTTTTTACAATTTTATATATATATATATATCCCATCATATATTCATATTTCATGCTTAAACCCCTATTCATCTATCATTAATCCTCATAAATCGCTATGTATCCCCATTGATCCCCATTAATCCATAGTATATCCATAGTATATCCATAGTAATCCTCATTCTTCCATAGGACCATTGGATTTTTTTTCCCCATAACTCCTCGATCCATCGGATCAGGCCCCAGGCCTGCATCGCCCAAAGGATTTCGGTTCAAGCGAAGGCTCTGCAGCTTGGTCTGTGCAATGATCTTGGCCACGTGTACCGCTGCCTGGATTCCGAACAAAGTGATGGCAGGTGATGCTTAGCCGGTTAAGAAATTTACATGTGGCAACGGGTCAAAACGCTGGTACCGTGGTGAAACCCAAAATAGCTGATATGGCTGGATGTTCATCCCCCCCAAAAATGCTACTGCTACTATAGGTTTTGGACCAGTCACCATATCTGTATCGCCAAAAGTCTGTGTTCATATTGTTGTCGTTGTCTTTGTCATAACTTATTCTTGTTTCTCATGAGTATTGCATTTTTTTAAAGAATATATCTCAACATTACTCAGCATTTATCATTCTTCTTCTTCTTCTTCTTACATTATAATTTTACATTATATATATATTATGCATATACGTATACAGGCCTCACTCATTGGATTGGTTTCAGGAAAAAATACAGGAACGTCCCTATATTTCAATGGTCAAAACCCAGGTTTTCCCGTGAAGATTTCGCCTCGATCTCCGAGATGTTGTTCTCGGAAATGTCCAGGTCGCGCAGGTTGCTCACTTGCGAGTTCACCAAGCCATCCTCGGGCGAATGGTAGGTATATCATGGAAAAAACGACACAAAGAAAGATTAAACAAAAGGGAGTTTGAGTCAACTTGAGTCAACTTGCAAGCTACTTGCTGCTTCACCCAGAAAATTGGAAGTGTTTTTTACTTCACTCAAATCATACAGGAACTATATCGAACGATTCACCATGGATGAACCAAGGAACTGCCAGCGCAATGACTCCCTCAGTCTCCATCCCTGTGCTGGCCATGTTGAGGGTCAAAAGCCTTGGCCATGGCACATGGATCAGGCCAGGTCCCATGGGCAACATCTGCATATGTGGCCTATTTATACATATAATTTATCATTTAATTATATGTAATGCGAATTCATGTGATAATATGTGATATGTATGTGCACACCGAGAATCAAGCAAACACGGTTTGAGTAGCTTCAGCCGCATGTGACATACACTTCCACACATGGCCGACATTGAGCACTATAGATTCGGATTTCGATTCGGATTTAGATTCGAATTGCTAATCTAAAGCTAGGTAGCCTACAAATGAGGATTCAGATTAGAATATCTAGCTACAGTAGGCAGGTAGGTAGGTAGGTATAGTATAGTAGCTGCGAACCAGTGATTCCTGAGGTCACCGGTCATATCCCTTTGGTTTACTCGTACTTTGGACACAACAATCAGTGGCGACTCATAGCTCAACTCTCTTGCTGATACCTGCCGATTCGTGTCTTGAGCCAAAGGAGGTCAGCAGTGTTGACTGCTTTGACAGTCCCTTGGGAAATTCACTTTGGATAGTACTTTACAAGTGGTACATCATGGTATGTTCCTACCGTGATTCCACTCGCAGTAGCCATTGCAGTACATCATCATGTTTGTTGGTTAAATCCCATTAAAACAGATTAAAAGCCACTAAATCACCATTAAATCCCATATATTCCCATGATTATCATAACTTTCCCATGGTTTTGGATGTTTGTGGCATGGTTTTACCCACAAATCCACCCTGATTCGCCAGGTGACGGAGCACAGGAGGACAGGGCCCGTGCGATGCGACGCAGGGGCCGGGGCTCCAGCAGGTTGAAGGCGATGGACAGCTCCGCCAGCGCCTCCGTCTTCCTGAACCGCCAGCAACAGCGGTGAAAGTTAACGCTTGGTATGTTTGGGGTACAATATATATATAGACATGTATATATATACACACTTCATATATGTATATTATATATGTTGTAGGGGATTATCATATGCCCACACCTGGTATCACATATGTATAGGGGATCATCATACTCATACCAAATAGAAGCATGGAAACATGAGAAAAAAAATGAAATCTGAGTCTTATGAGCAAATAGCATGCGCTGGATTGATGTGACACATATTACCAATTTATCTGAACATTCACATGCCTTAGATGACCACATGATGACCACAATGACCAAAGGCGGCCAAAACGCCATCTTGAGATGTGGTGATTTCATGTGGCTGAGCGCCAAGGTGCTGCAACAGATCGCAGAGCTTGGCATGAATCAATTCTCCGCGGCAGGAGGTCTCTGCTATGTCCTGCGGTGATCCAACATGGTCAACATGGTCAACTCGCATCATCTGGTATGGAGTGCAGAATAGCATCATATGATCTAAGATGCAGCCCCGTAAGTTGCCCCAAAAACAGTTTTCAATCACATTTTCTATCAGTTGTCATAAACAGGCCTGGATTGCGTGGATTGTGCCAGTCCAAATTTTGGTTCCTCAGATCGCCATGTCCCCGGTCCAGGCGCTTCAACTTGGCACAGGCTGGGAGCAATGTGGAGATCCCTTCCGAGGTGAAGCAGTTTCCGGACCTGGAGCCGTTGGTACCCATGGGAGGACAGGTGAACTGCGATGAGCAATTCCCACATCAAAATGATGGAAAAGTGAGCCGAGAGTATGAGAAAATTGTTATTAATCATTATTACTATCATCTATTATCCCAAATGATCCTTTTTCTTTCACGAATTTCGAAGCTTCCAGCGGCTTACCCCTCAGCTTCTTGCAAGTGGCACGTCCAAAGATGTCAGGACCGAGTCTGTCTCTAAGAAGTCCTTAGAGCCAGATCATTCCGCTCTCCAGGTTCGATGCAAGGAAATCTTTCTGAAAACATGAGCGAATGAACGAATCAACGGATGAATGAATACAATATGCGCAAAAGAAAATAAATAGTATGCTGTGTATACATTTCTACACACAAATTACTATACACCTGGCATACATACATATATATATACACACATACATACATACATTACGTACGTACGTACGTACGTACGTACATACATACATACATACATCATGGATGATCATCCCCAGTACATACATACATACATTACATTACATTACATTACATTACATTACATTACATTACTTACATACATACATACATAACATTACATTACATTACATTACCATACATACATACATACATACATACATACATACATACATACATACATACATACATACATACATAAATAATGGATGATCATCCCCAGTACATACATACATACATTACATTACATTACATTACGTTACGTTACATTACATTACATTACATTACATACATACATTAATTACATTACATTACGTTCCATTGCATTACATTACATTACATTGCATACATACACACACACACATATATATATATATATCTGTGCGTGTGCTCCATCTCTGGGTATGGCTTGGTATGGGTCAAACCATTCAAGCTGAGATCATTGGCACCTCTTCTGCTAGGAAGTTCCATCCCAGAAAAATCATCAGTGGGGCGTCCGGAAGCTCACCAATAGGCCAAGTCAAATACCACAAAATCGATTAACACTTAAGCCCTATAAAATTCCATCAGACCACATAAAAGCCTACAATAAAACTCCATAAAACCACGTAAAATCCAATTAAAACATATTAAAACACATCATAGCATCCCATGAATTCCGGGAAACAAAGATTCCTTTCCATGATTTGCCTCTAAAAAACACATAAAAACACCGCAGAAACCCCCCAAGGCGCGGCCAGGGCTTTCCCGGCATCCGCTCGCAAGGCTGTGCAGGAGAGCTCCAGCGAGGCTATCTTGCGACGAGCGTTGCGCGCCAAAGAAAGCAGCAAGGCTTGGAGCCCTGGCAGGTGATCATATGGTTATAATGCCGATGATTAATGGATTAATGGATTAATGATGGACTATGATGGATTAATATGGTTATTATACCTATGATTATGGCATTATAACCACTATAACCACTAGATAACCATATCATATGTCATAGCATATCATAACATCCCTATGATTATGGCATTATAACTATATGATGGTGATTATAGTGGTTATCTAGTGGTTATCTAGTGATTATAGTGGTTATATAGTGGATTATAGTGGATTATGGTGGATTAACAATGGTTAATAATGATGAAAACCACGGTTATCTGGTTGGTGGTTCATGTTGGTTCCCAAAAAAGCCAATGTCAAAGAGTCAAAGCCAAAGAATTTCAGATCCACGAAACTTTAGGATCCTCTGACCGCACCGCGGTCACGCTCCCGCAAGGCCTTCTGTGGTGACGTAGTTGGGCCGCTGCCGTTTGGGCTCCCCAAGGGCCAAATGCTCCAACCTCAAGGCTACTGAATGGATGCTGCATGAAGCCTTGGATTCGAAATGATCCAAATGGCTGGTTTTGATTCTCGCTATATTTGTTTCTCTCCGCTCCTTTTTGATCTTTTCAATGAACCATTAAAATGACTTACACAATTTTCCAAACATGCAAACTGGAAGGCTTCCCCTAGAAGCTTTCAAATTTGCCATGCGGCTTTGGCCCCAAACACACAGAGAATAACTTTCCCAAACCCTGGGCTTTGGCAGGATAGAGAGACACAGGGACCCTAAGTTTCCTCCATCGCCTTACATCTTTTTGTTGCCCCCTGCTTCAAAGGTTGAGAGCCATCAACTTGTCAACAGTGCATCTGACGCGATGATCTCAGGGGAAAAAAACGCGCTGCGTTCATATTCCAATCTTTTCCAATCAAATACTCCATGTTCGGAGTAATGTTCAGAGTATTTAGCAACATTCTTAAACTAATTCAGATTTTACTTCCGAATAGGCTTCCAAAGGTATCCAAATGCATGCTGGTATGAAGTACATATATATGTAGTAAAGTATGCCTGGTTGGTGGTTTCAACCCCTCTGAAAAATAGTCAATTAGGATCATTATTCCTATATATGGAAAAAAATAAAAAACTGTTCCAAACCACCAACCAGATACAGTATACCATGGTTACCATAGAGCATAAGTTTTGGGATTTGGGATCCTTGGTCGCTTCAGCCGGGCATCGTTTCGTTGCTTTCCAGCTCGCTGGTCGCAATCTCTTTGACGCCAGCAGGACCTGAACGACGAATCTGCCGGGGAGAAGGCAAACATCCAATGCTTTATACGTTATGTTCCCTATTAAAATAGCGGTACCCCAATAGTTTGTCATGGTTTATTCACCATGTTTCCTTTTTTGCAATAGCCTTGAAAGGGGTTGCACACACACACACACACACACACACCATTTTTCGGACTTACCAAAGAGGATCCAATAGGTACAAGCTACAATTTGGATCACATGGCTTATCTCTTCAATTCCCCCAGGCAGCTCCAAAAATCATGTCCATTGACACTTGATCCACAGCCACCTGACCACTGGCCAAGCTACCAAGAATGTTTCCTGCCAACAGCAGGCTCTTCAACTTTGGCAAAGCATGGATGAGACTGGCAATGGCCGCTGCAGCATTGTCACCCAGCTGATTGTTGCCTGGATTTTCGATCACTCCGACCCTGACCCGACCGTGGGGGGTCAGGATCCCTTCGGCCAGCGCTTGAATGTAGATGAGCGATGTTGCTCGATTCGATTCAAGCGAAAAAGTGCATGTGCACCCCCAACCCATTGCTTTTGTGGTAGAATAGACGAATAGACCCGCTTGGGACATGCAAAAATCATCAATACATTGCTCTAAATGATTCAATATGATTCAACTTTAGTCCGCAGAGGTTTGGAATTTTACCCTGAAGCAACAGCAATAGTGAGGTCCAAGAAACCAAGATCAATCCTCGTGACGTTTCTCCCTTTCAGTTGCCTTAGGGTCAGGCAGATTCCGTGCGTGAGATGGAAATAGGAACTCGCTATCCGTTTATCCGTTACGCTCATGATGGTAAAAACACAGAAAAAAGTACAGTAAGAGGAATGTAGAAATCTCTATGTAAGGTCAGGTCATGATTTTGTTTAACGAGCTGTACTACCGAAGTGCCATGACATCCCGGATCTTGGATGACCTTAGCTGTGCATGGCTTGGACCCACCAGATTGATGGTGGATCTTTCCTGATAACCACATCACCAGCAACATCCTATTAAAAATCAGCAACATCCAGCAAATATCTGATGAACTCTCTTCAACCTCTAAAGTCGATAATTATTTGTGGCAGTTGTCACATACTGGTTGGTTAAGAACAGGATTTCCGTGTTTTGGATTATCAAATAATCCGAAACTCATGCATACATACACACACATATATATATATATATTATACTGGTTGGTGGTTTCAACCCCTCTGAAAAATATGAAAGTCAGTTGGGATGATTATTCCCAATATATGGAAAAATAAAAGCCATTAGTATAATCCCCCAACGAATCATCAACCAGCGCCAAGTCACAGCGCCAAACAACTGGCGGCGGCCGCCCCGAAACGCAGGCTCCGGAAGGAGAGGCGATCCTTCCGAGATTCCAAGCACTGAATGGAGCTGGGCAAAGGGCCAATGAAGATCCAAATTGTGGGATATATATATATGATATATGGTTATAGTGGGTATATAATGAAGTTCCAATATGATTAGTGGATATATATGGTTATTTATGAAGTTCCAATATGATATAGTGGGTATATTAATGGGAATATCATGCGTCTCTTCTATGATTTCTCTTTTGCATGCTTTTTTTCACTTTTGGATGTGAACTATCAGGGATCTTGGGGGTTTGACCCAGCAGTTCTATGGTCAATTCAAAAATCTGAAATCAACAACCACAGAAAGCCCAAAAGGTTGGGAGAACCTCTGATTGCGCCAAAGTTTCAGCGCCGCTCTATTTCACAAACCTAAACAGCCTAAACATCAGCCAACTTTGGAGACTTTGACCCCCTCACTCATCACTAATCACTAATCCAAAAATTCGGAGATCTTCACCAAAAACCACATTGATGACTTTAGATCACCAAACATCAGCCAGCTTTGGGGACTTTGACCCCCTCACTCATCACTAATCTAAAAATTCGGAGATCTTCACCAAAAACCACATTGATGACTTTAGATCACCAAACATCAGCCAGCTTTGGGGACTTTGACCCCCCTCACTCATCATTAATCTAAAAATTCGGAGATGAACCCATCCTTCATCAAGATTCATCAAGATCAGATCTGGCTACGTGTCAAAACCCTGGTACCCCAATGGTACCCATAGCTGGTATAGCTGGATGTTTCTTCCCCCAGTCCTCGCTGCTCCATGGCTTCGTCGGGCGCCTGGGAGGAGCGCCAGTGGAAACAAAAACATAGCTGGTGCAAATTATCATAGGCAATCCGTGGCTATCAGTACTCAGATAATCTTATTCAGATTCAGATGTTTCTTATTGTTTCTGATTGTTTCTTTACATGTCTTTCTACTTTTTTCTATGAGATTCATCTGTAGCAGTGGTGTCAACCTGATGTAAACTACCGATTTGGGATGAATTGCATGCGCAGCCAACAGGTGGTTGGCCCTTTTAAGCAACTGTGATTTGGGGGACCCTAAAACCAGTGGTTTCCCAGTTCAAAATGATCGATCTTTGCATGATTTTGGGGTAAGCCATTTGAGACCACCACCGCAGACATCCGCATACATCCGCACATGCCCACTGCAAAAAAGCCTACCCTCTAGTAATCTAACCGTCCCGGCAAGCAACAACAAACAGGCCCCATGGGCCCCATTCGTATGGATTGACATACATACCTAACATACCTTGTCCATTCTTACCTTCAAGTAAAATGTTCGGCCAGCCTGGGTGTGCTCGGCCGCAAAGAAGCTGCGGTGCCTGATCGAACACCTGCACTGTTGAGTTGATGGGAGCAACGTATCAAGATCTGCCGCCAGTTGCATGTGTGTGCGTGTGTATTGTGTAAAGCCATTGAATATTGAAACAAATTTTCGGAGCAAATATTCGTAAACTACTATAGCCGTATAATCCTGTATATCCAAGTATGCATGGAAAAATGAATCCAAGTCACTTCCACACCACTTTATGGCCCACAAAAAAGTCAAATCCAACGAAAATCCAACAAGATAAAAATAGAATCACAGCAAATCACCAAATCCATCCAAATCCTGTTTGATGTTATACAAGACTGTACAAGATACGCCGATGCGCCGATACGCCCATCCCGGTGCCCAGTTGGCCTGCGCTTCTCTCTGCGTCGCCAGGCGGACTCGCCGCGGCCATTACCGCGCCAGGCGGAGGCAGCGGTGATGGGTTTTGGGCCTTCGTCCGTTGCAACGAGGACAGTCTCCCCACTTGGCTGACCGGTGACCGGTGTACATTTGGGATACATTTGCGTAAGGGATTTTTGATATAGCATGAGCTTTAGTATGTTGTAGTATATAGCGATGTGGCATGGATGTATCCAGTATTCAGTGCATTGTTTGGTTATCCCAGAAAATCGGGGGTCAAGGAACAAAAATTGGGGGTCCAATTGGATGATTTTCGACCCAGAATTCCAAGGATTTTTGGCGCGGTGATGTGGCCCTTCCAAAGGGCTCCCCGAGCTGCGGTGAACTGCGACCAAGGTACCCGAACGTGCCTTGGAAGGAGAGGTTCCACAATGTGGACGGGGGGGAGCTATGACGCTCGATATTGGAACCCTATGGGAACCTGAAATTCGCCATGGAAACCCTGGCTGCCTGGGAAAGTTCCAGCTGTTTTTCACGTAACCGTTACCTCTAGTGTAGAAAGTCTCATCCATAAAGAACCATTAGGATTCCTCTGTCGGAGCGCAGCCTGAGCTGTGCATCTTTCCAGGGAGCTCTCGAATATGGTGAAACCAAGTACCATACCCCATTGACAACATTTTTACCATTGTGGGGGGAACCAAGACAAACTAAGACCATGCACAACAAAGGAGTTGGTAAACGGGTCTGCCGCATTTCACGGCCGCATCCCAGTACAGAAGTGGATTCAGCCACCAACTACAACTATAGACCCATTTTGAACCCCTGGCTGCAGACGCATCCATGTCGCATGGCCAAGTTTTTTTTCCATCAAGCCTGCGGATTCGCAGCCTATATCTTGATGGCCGAGGACGAAAAGATGGCCATCAATCCTGTCAGCCGTATCGCATCATTCGGTGTCCACAAAAATAGGTACTTCAGCATGCCAACCACAGGTTTCCCCCCTAAATAGAAAAACCAACTGAAATGACGTTCCAGACTGGAAAAATCCAATTCATTCTTTCAGTGTTTTCTTTGGGTTTCAACTCATTCATGCATATATATATATCATTAAATATATATCTTTTCATCCCATCTGCACCCTTCGGGCACCAGCAAAAACCCGTTCAGCCGCTCAGCGCTTGAAGAAGCGAAGAGTGCTCAGATCTCAGAAGTTCTCAGAGAGGATTGCCCTTCGCGCTCTCGCCGATGCGGACCACCTCCAACAGTCATTCTCCAGTGCGGGAGCAGGTATCCAAGGAAGGCAATCAAATCGGGAAGATTGGGATACATCATGTCACCTCCATACCAGTTTGCTCCCACACTGCCCCATACTACATTCCTGGCATCCTATGTTGAGAGATACTTTGAGTATGTAA